CATCCATGCTTGATGGCAGCCCCATGGCCTGCTACAATTACTGCCTCTTTATCAGAGAAGTTTGGGCCTCAGGATTTTCAAAGGAAGGTGCAATTCTTCTCCTCCCTGTTCCTACCAGGTCTGGGTTAGATTCACTGCAGAGTTTAGCAGTTATGATCTTGGATACAAAGTGCTTGATCCACATTCCTCAGACCATTGCTAACCTCTTCTCATGGTCATGGCTGGTCAGTTATGTTTTTACTTCCTCTATCAAGGAGAACTTCTTTTGACAGTGACTTTGAAATATCAGCTTTGTTTAGCTGTCCTCTCTTCTGTCTTTAATATCAATTACTTGCTAATTCCAACAGCTAGTGTAGTTTCTTGCTCACATAGCTCTAGGCACACTGGTCTTTTTGCTATTCTTAGAATACTCTAATTTATTTCCATCGTAGACCCTTTATAATTCTCTGCCTTTTTGTATTTAAATATAAATATAAACATTTTAATAAATTTTATGTGTGGCCGTGCACTGAAGAAAAGGTTCTCAGACACCAGACTGAGCGGACATGCAGTCTGCCTCTGTGAGAGAACAGCACCAGCTGGGGTCTGCAAATAGTCTTTATATTATGTTTTATTAGGTATAAACATCAAAGAGCCTCAAAGCATGAGAGGGAGCACAAAGGGTCTTAGACATTAACCAAACATACATCTGGTTTTACGTGAAGGCATAAAGGGAGTGTGTGTGGTTTTAAGGAATGTCAGGGAGTTACAGCAGGTGCTGTATTTTAACTGTCCTCTGGGAGATCACGGGGCTCTGCATCTCATAATGCTATTGGGTTTGACAGTCTTGAGACCAGAACATTGCTGATGTTTCAGCTATTGCCCCATTCATCCTTCAGGACTTATAATACATGATCTAGAAATAAGTCCACATTTATATAAATATAAAATATAATCCCCTTCCTTTAATTTTTTTGGAAAATTCCTTATTATAAAGGTCTTCCCTGCCCACAGACTACCTGGACATTTAGCACTGTCTTAAATAATTAATCACTTACTTTTCTATTGTCTGTCTCTCCCACCAAAATGTAAGTTAAAAGCATAGTCTTTTGTTGTTTTGTCTACTAGCTTCCTAAAGTGGAAACTATGCCTGGAAATAGCACATTCAATGTTATTTATGGAATGGGGGAATACTCCTCCACCCACACAATTTTGGCCCATCTAACTTCTGCTTGTTCTTTAAGACAGCTAAGTCAGCCCCTCTGGAAAATTATCCACGGTTCTCCATCCCTTCAGGGCCTTTCCAGGGATCCCTCTTTTCCTTATAACAAATTTTCCATGATATATTTTACTCTGTGTTCGGCTCAGGTCATGATCTCATGGTTCGAGGCTTTGAACCCTGCATCAGGCTCTGTGCTGGCAGCTCAGAGCCTGGAGTCTTTGGATTCTATGTCTCCCTCTCTCTCTGCTCCTCCCTGGCTCACACTGTCTCTCTCTCAAAAATAAACATTAAAAAATTAAAAAAAAAGAATGAAAGTAACTAAAGTTTATTGTGAGCTGAAAAACATGCTAATAATTTTATTTGAAACTTTCATATATATCATATATTTAAATTGTGTAGAGATCCTTTTGGGTTAGGCATTGTTATTGTTAGATTCATTTTAATTGAAAATTGAGGTCATATAAGGAAAATAATTTTCCTAAGTCACACAGAACGTAGAACTTTCTAAACCTGACTCCAGGTGTAGTATACTTTCTAATGTATCACAAAAACGTTTAAATTTGCTATAAGATATAAGAAAACATGACTCCTATATGAGGACTAAAATTGCAAGTACACAGCATAGATATAGATTCCAGCTGTAGAGCTGTATGCATGCTTTGGAATTTGCTGTGGCTGTATGGTTTTCCTGAAGTTTTGCATGTACGCAGCACCCAAGACACTCACACACGTCCTCTATTTTATTCTATTTGTTTTGCATAAGTACCTTTGGATCTTCCACATGTAACACCCAAAGTTCACATATACCTTATCACTGAAGAAACAGCTTTCTCATGTCAGACAGAATGAGGCACTGGTGGGAGAAGGCATAACCTGTCAAGAGTTAAATGTCAGATATGCCAGATAGCCTCAGATAAGTCCAACCTCAAATGAGAACTGACTCCACATAAACCTTGTAGTAGAGGTTTTGTCTTTGGCCCTTTGCCACTCCCCTTCTTGACCCTGCACTGTGCAGAAACATGACCCCCTCAATCTTTCCTCCAGATGCTCAAAACCTTCCTTAGCAGCATTTTAACCTGGTCTGCTTTCCTCACAGATACCTCAAAGGCAAAATGAATAATACTATATTGACATACATTACTCAAAAGATAATTTTAATTAAGTTTTTAATTTTAATGCCAATATAGTTGACAGTGTTGTATTAGTTGCAAGTGTACAATATAGTGATTCAGCAATTTAATACATTACTCAGTGCTCATCATGATAACTGTCCTCTTAATCCTCTTCACCTGTTTCACCCACTGCCCCCCAACTACCTTCCCTCTGGTAACCATATTTGTTCTCTGTAATTAAGAGTCTGTTTCTTGGTTTGTCTCTCTTCTTTTTTTCCCCTTTGTTCTTGTGTTTTATTTCTTAAATTCTGCCTGTGAATGAAATCATATGGAATTTGTCTTTCTCTTACTGTCCTATTTTGCTTAGCATTATACACTCTAGCTCCATTCATGTTGTTGCAAATGACAGGATTTCATTCTTTTTTATGGCTGAATAATATTCCATTGTATATGTATATATATGTATACCACATCTTTATCCATTTGTCTATTGATGGGCACTTGGGCTGTTTCCATAATATGACTATTGTAAATAATGCTGCTATAAACACAGGGGTGCATGTATCCCTTTGAATTAGTGCTTTTGTCTTTTTTTTTGGGTAAATACCTAGTAGTGTGATTACTGGATCATAGGGTAGTTTACTTTTAACTTTTTGAGGAACCTCAATACTCTTTTACAAAGTGGCTACACCAGTTTGAATTCCCACCAGCAGTGTAAGAGAGTTCTTATTTCTTCACAACCTTGCCAGCACTTATAGTTTTTGGTGTTTTTTATTCATTTATTATTATTATTTTTATTTTAGAGAGAGTGAGAACAAGGGAGAGGGGTAAAGGGAGAGAGAGAGAATCCCAATAAGGCTCCATGCTCAGTGCAGAGCCCAATGTGGAGCTTGATCCCATGACCTTGGGATCATGACCTAAACTAAAATCGGGAGTTGGGTGACCAACCAACTAAGCCACCCAGGAGCCACCTTGTGTTTTTTATTTTAAATATTCCAACAGGTGTGAGATGATATCTTGTTATAATTTTGATTTGTATTTCCCTGATGTTGAGCATCTTTTCATGTGTCTGTGGCCATCTGTATGTCTTCTTTGGAGAAATGTCTATTCATGTCTTCTGCCCATTTTTAACTAGATTATTTGGGCTTTGGCTGTGTGATTTGTATCAGTTCTTTATATATTTTGGATATTAACCCTTTATCATATGTGTCATTTGCAAATATCTTCTCCCATTCCATAGGGTGTCTTTTAGTTTTGTTGATTGCTTTCTCTGATGTGCACAATCTTTTTATTTTGATATAGTCCCAATAGTTTATTTTTGTTTTTATTTCTTTTGCCTCAGGAGACATATCTAGAAAAACGTTGCTATGGTTAATGTCAGAGAAATTACTGCCTGTGCTCTCTTCTAGGATTTTTATGGTTTCAGGTCTCACATTTAGGTCTTAAAAGATAATTTTTTTTTTCTAGGTCAATGTGGTGGCAAAATTGTAATGGACAGATAAGAGGGTATAAGGAATTATCTCTTTTTGGTTCGCTGATCTTTCCAATATCTTCAATCCCTCATTTTTTTTTCTACTTATCACTTCCCCTGCTTCCACCCTAATTTTCTCTACTTTTTCCTGACTTGCTAGGAACAATGACAACAAAAACAACTTCAGATATTTCTCTGGATATATTGTTCTCTCTCTCACCTCTGCCTCAGTTTTGCACATACCATTCCTTCAGATTAGACCATAATTTTCTGGTTTGACTGCCTAACTCTTATATATCCTGTCAGGCTGGCTACTGTATCAACTCAAGGAAATCTTTCTTGACACTCTGTTGTCCCACCTGGAAGAAGACATTTCTCTTTTTGTTTCTATATTAACTTCTTTTTTACTTTGAGCAACACAGTTAACATATGGCTGTATAATAAACCACCCCCAAATTTAGTGTCTTAATAAACAAACAAACAAATAAACAAACAGTTATTTAGCTTTCAAATCTGCAGCGTGGACTGGGTTCGATTGATTATTTTATTGGATATCACCTGGAAATGCAAGAAAAATGGGGGTTGGAATAATATGAAGATTTTTTCACTCACTAATAGTTGATAAATTTCCAGCTAAGGCTTAGACTTTAGCTTGGTCTGGGACATCTATATGTGGCTTCTCCATGTGGTCTCAGCTTCTCAGTATGGTGGCTGTGTTCAAAAAGCAAGCATTGAGTGAGATAGGGGTGGATATATAAATAGGGAAAAAAAAGAGGGAGAAAGAATGAGTGTGGGGAAGTATATACCAATGAAAAACATATAATCTTTTATGAACTAGCCTCGAGAGTCTTGCAAGATCACTTCCACAACATTCAATTCATTGAACCTGTTACAAAGTCCTACCCTGTTACGAGGGGTAGAAAAAAAACAGACTGTCTCTCTTGATGGGGAAATGACAAATTTCTGGAAGGGAATGCAGGATTAGAAATACCTCTGTGGCCATTTTTGTAAAATACAATCTGCCATGTCATACTGCATTGTGTTCCCCCCCACCAGAATGATAGTTCTGTAAGAGCTGTGACTTCTTGATCATATCTGTGTGTATTTGTTGAGTAAATAAATAATTGTCTCCTCCACTTCATACACATTAGATATTATAAAGGATAGAGGAATAAGGGTATACTGAAGGAAATAGTACCTCTAAGACTAGACCCAGCTAACAAAAGGCATGGGCCACACGATCTCGGATCTGTTTGGTCTTCACACTATAGACTATGGGGTTCATCAGGGGAGGGGCTAGAAGGTACACAAAGCCCATGATCACTTGGACAAGATGAGGTGCCTTGTTCCCAAACCGGTGGATGATGGACAAACCAATCATGGGAGTGTAGAAGAGGAGCACAGCACATATATGGGAAACACAGGTGTTGAGAGCTTTGAATCTCTCAGCCCTGGATGCAATAGACAGCACAGTACGCAGGATCAGGGCATAGGAGAAGAGAATGAGCAGTGAGTCTACACCCACTGTTGAAACAATGACAAACATGCCATAGATGCTGTTGGCTTTGATGTCTGCACAGGCCAATTTCATTACTTCTTGATGGAGACAATAGGAATGTGAGAGAAGTGCAGAGCCACAATAGGAGAATCTTTTGAGCATAAAAGGCAATGGGAAAATGAGTGCTACACTGCGACCCAGGGAAACCAGGCCAATCCTGCCAATGACTGTGTTGGTGAGAATGGAAGCATAGTGCAAGGGGCGACAAATGGCCACAAAGCGGTCAAAGGCCATAGACAGCAGCACAGAGGACTCTAGGAAGGACAAACAGTGAATGAAAAAGAGCTGGGCAAAACAGGCATCGTGACCAATATCTCGCGCCCCAATCCAAAAGATGCCTAGCACTGTAGGGAGGGTGCAAAGAGACAGACCCAGATCAGTCACAGCCAGCATGGACAGGAAGAGGTACATAGGCTCATGGAGTGAGGGCTCTGTTTTAATGATAAAAAGGATAGTACAGTTGCCCAGGATGGAAACCAGGTAAATGAAGCACAATGGGATGGAGATCCAGATGTGCATGTGCTCCAGCCCAGGAATGCCACTCAGCAGAAAGGTGGAGGAAATGTTGCTGCTGCTTTCCAAGGTTCCCAAAGACATTGTGTGTGGAGGGAAGAGGAAATTGGATTCCTTCCAAATTCCTGAAATGAATTCAGAAAAAAAGCTAGAGGTCGAACCTGGGAAGAAATTAGAAACCAAACCAAACCAAACCAAAACAACAACAACAAAAACTAAGAAACAAAACAAAACAAAACAAAACAAAACAAAAAAACATGAGAATCAAGTAGATCTAGAAGTGTACATCTCCTCCAGAGGTCACTTCCTTCTGGTCTCTGGCCTTCTTTCCACATTGTTTTAGAAAAATGTTTTTCTTTGAATTCTTTTCTCCTTTCTCCTTCAGGCTGAGAGGTCTGAGCACCTACACTATTCCTGTTGGTTATACTAATTTTGCCTACCTCTTTTGAGGAGATCTTTAATTAAACACTCCTCACCTGCCTCTTTTCTGCCAGAACTCTCACTAATGTTCTAACCTTTCTTTCAACTTATCTTTCTTTCCTTTCTCTTACCTTACTTCCTTTGCTATTCCTTTGTCACTGTCCATTCTTCCTTCCTTTCTCCCTCTCTCCTCCCTACCTCCCTTCCCTCCTCCTTCTCTCTCTTTCTCTCTTCCTTTTTTCCAATCTCTTCTTCTTTCCTTCCTTCCTTCCTCCTTCTTTCTTTCTTTCTTTTGTTCTTTTGTTCATTCTTTCTTTCATTTTTTGCCTTTCTTTCTCTTTTCTTTTCTTTCTTTCTTTCCTTTCTTCCCTCTTGATTATCTTCATCAGCCACATATAATTTCTTTTTTTTTTTTCAACGTTTATTTATTTTTGGGACAGAGAGAGACAGAGCATGAACAGGCGAGGGTCGAGGGGCAGAGAGAGAGGGAGACACAGAATCAGAAACAGGCTCCAGGCTCTGAGCCATCAGCCCAGAGCCCGACGCGGGGCTCGAACTCACGGACCGTGAGATCGTGACCTGGTTGAAGTCGGACGCTTAACCGACTGCGCCACCCAGGCGCCCCTATAATTTCTAACCTTAGACACAGATTAATCCTTCATTCACCTTCTCCTCTGGTCTTCCAGTCGTGGAAGCCTAGTTTGATCCAGATAGCTCACATGTGCTACTCAGCTCACAGAATTCCAGTAAGGACTGGGGAGTGAATGAATGGCTGTCTGTAAAGTTATTCTTGACTGCTGAAGTGCCATATCAAAGCTCTGATTCTCCTGTGAATCAGTAACCTGCATTCCCTGGAGATCTAGAGTTCAACTTCTATCAACCTAGGTGAGAGAAAAGGCTGAAGCACCATCAACCATGGCCACATCCACAATTGCAAGGCAGAGTCTGTGAGAGTCCACAGAATAGAATGCAATATGCCAGTAGGACTTATTCTTCCTTAGATTAAAAAATGAAGGTTCATGAGAGGACAGTCACTGGGCAGAACTCTTATGCCAATTTAAGACTCCTGACTTTCAATGCAGTGATCTGCCCACTCCCAGTTAATAATTCCACTAGAATGTGAGCTCAAAAATGGCAGAGGCTTGGCTTTGCTTACTTCTGTAAAGACAGTGCTTATAATGGCTATGGTATACAGTAGGCACTCAGAAATTGTTTTATGCATGGTTAAGAGCTAAATTTATTTGGTCAGCTGTTAGTAACTCAGTGCATATTTTATCACTTAAAGAAAATCCTACGAATTGGGGCGCTTGGTTTGGCTCAGTCAGTTAAGTGTCCAACTTTGGCTCAGGTCATGATCTCAGAGTTTATGAGTTCGAGCCCTGTGTCAGGCTCTGTACTGACTGCCTGCTTTGGATTCTGTGTCTCCCTCTCTTCTGCCCCTCCCTGACTCGTGCTTTCTTTCTCTCTCTTTCAAAAATAAATAAACACTACAATTTTTTAATCCTGTGAAAAAAGTTCTATTAATAGTACCATATTATAAATGAAGAAATAGAGGATTAGAGACAGTTAATATATCTAAGATCAAAGATACAGTAAATGGCCAAAATGAGATTTGAACTAATATCCAGTTATTCTCTAGATTCCAGGCTCTCAACAAACATTATACTTTCTCCCCACATACAGGACTATTCATTGTCAGCTAGAAGCAGCTAGCATAATATCAAAGGCTTAATAGACCTTCAAAAAAGTACTGATTCTTTAGCTAAATTAATAAAGTGACTGGAGAAATACACACCCTCTCTCACTCCAAACACCAGTGAAATTAATAGCCAGTGTCATTAACTCACTGTCCACCTGAAGGTCAGATTGGCTCTTGTGTGTTGTTCCTCAGGTTCTACTTCAGCCATGATCAGTGGTCACCACATCATTCATCAAAATGAATTCAGAAGAGCTGTGATAAACTTACCTGTCGGGGACAGGCAAGCTACCTGGTGATTAACGATATAATGCATAAAACTTAAGGCAGAAAATGTTTTGACATGAAAACAAAGTAGGGTAGTGAAGAAAGAATATATATTACTTAATAATATAAAAGTTAATTTATAATACATGATGAACATCGATTACTTTCCAGGCACTGTACTAGGAGCACTGAAAAAGAAATAGCATTTAGATCTTAGAAAAACCCTGCAAGTTAATATTATTACCTCGATTTGCAAATGAGGAGAGAAGCTTACAGAATTTGATGATGTGTATAAAATCATACTATCAATCAGTGACAGCTGGAATTCAAACTGAAATCTCTGGAGCTCCAAGGAGCATTCTGAAAGTTTGGAAGCATTTAGTTTAATATAGCTGGGTAGTTTTTTTAAGCTGAGACAGCCTGAAATGAGTGAAGATTGAATGACAAAAATAGAGGGAAATATCAAAAGTATTTTTCCCCACCTTCTTTTACCTCAAGATAGACTCTCTTCAGAGTTTGTGCCTCACATTTTAAAGGGAGTAGGGCAGAGTAAGAATCAGAGAGAGAGAGAGAGAGAGACAGAGAGACAGAGAGACAGAGAGAGAGAGAGAGAGAGAGTTACGAGAATAAATTGAAGGAAAGGACTTGGATATAAAAGAAAATCCAGAATAGTGAAGCCAAGAGATATCTGCCTGGGAAAGACCACCTTAACCTGTTGGCCAGAGAGATCTTAGTAAGGTAACTATTCTAAGGGGTTCTTATTTAAAGGTCTTCAGAGTATCCATTTTCAGATTTGGTGAGGATTTCATTGTTCTTGACCAGTTCAAGTGTAGAGGGGAGTGGTAAACTTAACAAATGGCTTGGTCACAATTGTTCTTGGAGAACACTTCCTAGAGGTACTTGCACAAGTTCAATGGCTGCTTCTAATTCTATCACTCAGACTCTGTGGTTGCTCAGGAAAATGTCCTTTCATGTCACAGACAAGCTTTTCTTTCAGAGGATCACTTGACTTCCTACCCCTCTGTCTCTGCTTCTTGGAATTAACTCCTGATTCTGCTAACCTTGTGTCTGAGGCTAAGGAGTAGAGACTGAACTTATAGCTAATCTCATTCTTGCATCTCGGTTTTGCTTGCCTAACTTGTCTGTCTCTGTGGGTCTCAGTAATACTCTTATGTTGCCACATATGAGGCAACTCTCTGGGCTAGAAGTCAATGAAGTGAATGGGTGTGAGAAAGCTGCTGTCTCCCTACTAAGCTAGTGCTAAAACCAGACGTGGGATCCCATGAAGTTAGTGAGATCTGACTGCAATGGTCACCACCTTCTGCAGGCATCTTCTACAGCATTTCTTGTGCTTCAAAGTCCCTTCTCTCCTCTCCCTCTCCAGAGCTCAGACTGAGCCTTCTAGGACCTCTTCTTGGCTTCACAACTGAGCACCAGATACCTGACTTACCTATCAAGGCTAGGTGCAGAGACTTCAGTTCTTCTGACAGGGGAGAAGGAAAGTTAAAACCAGAGACTCTGGAGGGTATGGAGAGACTGAAGGATGGATGTTGAATTCCTTGATTTTTATGAAACTTCCTGAGGTCCCCATTGAGACCATTTCAAGAATCTTTCATCAATTCCCTAGGAGGACTGGTTTTCTGGACCTCATTATCTCATACTCTGGGGATAAGGGAAAGAAAAGAAGGGAATAGTTTTGTGAGATATCTAAATGGGAATCCCAGGAGATGTTACACACTGTAGCTACTTTTTGAAGATATCGTGAAATATTTTGAACAGCTCCACAACTTTAAGAAACCAGAGTGGGTGTTGTTGATAATGTTTTATATATGATGTATCATAACCATATAGTTATGCAAATCAGAAGTGACAGTGTATATGGTGCGTATATATAACATTAAAAGGGCATTTTTAATTCAATCCTTCTCCCATCACTAAAGGGGAAGAAAGGAACATCACATTCCTGGAAATATGGTGATAATGTTGATTCTTGGTGCCCCAAGTAACCCTATATGCTGCTGACTCCTGTCTATACTCAGGGACTCTTGTCTGTACTCCATCTCCTCTTCCTGTGTCTGATCCACACAGACACAGAATTCAGCCCTTTGTTTCTAGACGTTAAGGAGCTACCTTCAGAAAGGAATTCATTTTTGTACCTTTTGGGCAACATGAGCCCCTGAAAAGCATAGGTAAACCAAGGAGTTTCATATGTCAATACAGAGATATGAAGAATTAATCATCCATTTTGGACTTTAAAAGCTGATGGGAAAGATATTTTAGAAAGAGGAAAGGAAGGCCATTTCAGTGTTTTCATTACCCACGTAATTAGTATCCAGCTTATTGACTCTACTTTGAGAATACAAAGGTATAAATATTAAGGAATGTCTCAGATCCCCACACCAACCATAAAAGGTTTATTCCAATTCATTGGCCTGATGGGCCCCCTTGGAATGTGCTGGGCTTCCTCTTGTGGTTTCATTCCATTAATCTTTGGTCAAACACATTGTAGACACATCCAAGTGTTATGTAGCAGTATTTCTCAAATCAGAGTCCCCCGATAATCAGGATCAGAACCACCTGTAATGCTTATTAAAATGCAGATTTCTGGGCCTCATCCCTGTAGTGCAGAATCAGAAACTGACATTAGTCGCAACCACAAAGGTCTAAGAATTCTTATATATCCTTGTCTTTATGATTTGTT